AGACTGCCAGCAGGCAAATATGATGGAGGCAATTTCCCAGTCGAGAATCCCTCTTCCTAGGTGCGTAAGTTGACAGCTGAAGCTATGATACACAGTCTTTAAAAAAAAAAAAGAAAAAAACAAAAAAAAAAACCTCAGTTGGTATCAACTGTGTTCACGGCTTAGAATAGACTTAGTATTTTGTCTCGTTCAATTTTACTAGTTTTGTTCAGTTCCAAACCTGAAACAAAAGGCTGAGGTGCCCATTTAACATGTGGAAGTGGAGAATGGCTGCCAGCTTCTCTCTGCATCCTTCAGTCCCTACCCATTACAGGGTCCTCCTGCCTGGAATACCCCACCTCCTACTGAACTCTCCAGCACAGGGGACTGGCCTATTCTTCCATATACAATTCAATCATTTTGGTTACCTGGACTCTTTGTACCTTCGGCCCTCTTGGCTGCTGCATCTGGTTCCTAAAAATTGCACTGCTTTCTTTCAGGAGAGAATTCAGTGTAGCTAATGAATTGCTTCAGGTCATTGATGTGGAGAGGAACCTACTCTCCAAATACAAGTAAGACCTGCCAAACTATTCCATCTTCTCACTATCCTACTTGATGTGGTTTCCATAAGATCATCCATTTGGGCTTTCCCCTAGGCTTCCTCTTACTGCATGATACTTAGTTCTCTCTATTATGCCACTAATTGGCATCTTTTGTCTTTGTAAGTATGTTGTCTGAAAAGTCCAGGGCAATGGTGTATGCATGTTCAGAAGATCCCGGGTTAGCAGTGGTCAGAGTGGAAAACATAACCAATACCTCAGGGAGATAAATGTGCTATGGGCTGGGCTTAGGCCCTTGACTTCAGTACTGATGTGTGTGTGTGTGCTGTGGTGTGTGGGTTATGGTGCATTGCCACAATCCCACAAGTCTGCACAGCAAAAGTACAGCTGGCAGACCAAGAGACAAATGCACAGGAATGTAATCTGGTGGAGATCCCAGTTTGCAGATGTCTGGGAACGCCTGTCTTTTGGATAAGTTACTGTCAATTCTGTAGAAATCCTGTGGAATCATGCTGTTTCTCCCTTCTATAATATCCCAGCAGTATGTAAATCATTTGTTGAGATAATTTCTTCCTGTGTGGGCACCTGGATCCCCTCTCTCACACCGTGAAGCCCTGGTGTGAAAGCAATCACTCAGCCAAAGCTTTGTTCTAATAGTCAAATCTGCTAAGTTAGTCCCCACAATTACCCTTATTGACAGGACTCGTTGACAGGAAAGGAGCCCCAAAGAGGAGGCACTGAACAGGAGAGACAGTATGTCTGCTCTCCTGACAAGAGAGTCTGGGTGGGCCTGAATTCTCTAGCAGCAGACTCAGGAAGGTGGTGGAATCTACTGGCCTTTTGCTCTAACCCAACAAGCTACTAATAGTCTGTATTTATTCTTCACCTTGGTTTCAATTAACGTAAGATCATAGCTCAGGAAAATTAACTGTTTCTGTTTTTACCCCTAGAGATACATGAAAAAGGCTTGAGTCACTAACCCAGCCTCAGGGAAAGAAATTCTCACTGGGTACTGGCAGGTACCCTGCTGGAGCTGAAAGCAAAATCTTTAAAGAGGTTTTTTTTTCTTATTTTTCTCAGGCAGCTAGGTACAAATCAAGCATCTTGCCTTCCTCCCAGGCCCACAGGTTGCTATGGCTACCAAAGGTGAGTTCCCAGCTGCCAGGGAAGTGGAAATGTTTAGAAAGCACAGCAGCGCTGCTGCATTTTCCTACAATTATCAACCATAAACTCCTAGTTACAGTTAAAGACTGTAGTTAGTGCGTGAGAACGCCTTAGAATTCTGTAATTTAGAATTTGTAATTTAAAGTCCCATTCTTAACTAATCCTCCTGATATCTGCCAGGAGCTTCACAGCCACTACCCCACTCTGAGATGTAAGAAGCCTCCCTTACCTGCCTCTGGGACTCTAAAATGCGTGTTTGATGCTGTTGTCACCGCCTGTGGAACTGCTAACTTGTCTGTACGCCTCTATAAACTGATAACCTTATGGAGAACGTTCCTTTTTTCTTCCTCGCCCAAGGAATAACTTAACCTGCAGAAGAAAGGTGCTTGAGTCGGTTTTTTCTACCCTTTAGATCCCTTTTCCCAGCCAGTTTTCTCTGGCTGTAGACATCCTGTTCTGAGGGAGCTCTAAGGCTGGTACTCAGTAGCCTCTGATAGTGCGTGTGTGTGAGTTGTAGTGTGTGTGCTGGTGCTTGTGATTGAACCCAAGGCCTAGTGAATAAAATTCTAGGCAAGCACTCAACCTCTGAGATATAGTCCCAGATCCCCACACCTCCACCTACTGGTTTTCTGATTTAGCTTTAAGGATGTTAAAATAGTTTGGCCAGATGTCTTTGGGAAGCCTTTCGGAAATACCCGTGTGGAAAGGCTCAAGAGTAGGTGAGAACATTGCTGCTTCCTTTATTTGTGACATAAGAGTCACTCTGCCCTCATACTGCTACTGAGCACACTAGGTAAACTGAGGGAGGAGTGAGGCAGCTCAGCAACCTTCAGCTTCCTGCTTCCCCAGCTGGCGTTGCCCGTCTGAGAACACAGAGTTCTTATCTTGTTTTCTGAGCCAGGCCTCTCTCTGATCCCAGGCTGTGGCTTGGGAAACAGCCTCAGGGGCTGGCTGTGTTGCTCTGCTGATCTAAAAAGGCTTCTTCCATCGCTGCATTCCCAGGAGGGCGTGAGCGGCTTAGCTGATAGCATCATCCCGATGTTCTCCCCCGGTTTGCTTTTTTTCCCCCCCAAACAGCTTTTTATATAACTCATGATTTTCTTTTTTTAAATTTATTTATTTATTAAAGATTTCTGTCTCTTCCCCGCCACCGCCTCCCATTTCCCTCTCCCTCCCCCCAATTAAGTCCCCCCCACCTCAGCCCAAAAAGCAATCAGGGTTCCCTGTCCTGTGGGAAGTCCAAGGAACCCCCACCTCCATCCAGGTCTAGTAAGTTGAGCATCCAAACTGCCTAGGCTCCCACAAAGCCAGTGCGTGCAGTAGGATCAGAAACCCATTGCCATTGTTCTTGAGTTCTCAGTAGTCCTCATTGTCTGCTATGTTCAGCGAGTCCGGTTTTATCCCAGGCTTTTCCAGACCCAGGCCAGCTGGCCTTGATGAGTTCCCAGAAGAACATCCCCATTGTCTCAGTGTGTGGGTGCACCCCTCGCAGTCCTGAGTTCCTTGCTCGTGCTCTCTCTCCTTCTAACTCATGATTTTCTACAGCTTCACATAGCCACCTTTGAGTGTAAGGATTTATGATTAGTCACCTCTGCATAAGGAAATGGGAAAGTACTTTGAATCATCACAGGTAGATATGGCCCAAATGGAGCTCCATTCCCCAGTAACAAAACTACCAGGACAAAACACAGTCATTCCAGAGCCAGGAAAGAAAATCTGTTAGATCGGCTCCAGGACGATACACAATAACGCCTCTGACAGACTCCCACAGAGGAAGGAGTGCAGTTTTGCAAAGGCATGCGATGACTTTTTTTTTTTTGATTTTTCGAGGCACTAGGGAGGCAGAGGCAGGCGGATCTCTGTGAGTTCGATGCGATGGCTTTCTTATTTGTTTCCAGGGTCTCGTGTACCTCAGGCTGGCCTTTAGCACTTCCTGTTTCTATGTCCAGAGTGCAGGGTTCGTAAGGGTATAACATCATCCTCAGCTCAAATCTCCAACTTGATTCAGCAGAGCACAGACGAGAGCGCCTTCATTCCCAGCTGACAAGGCGCTCACTCTGACCCAGGCTCCTAACTCCTAGAGAAGGGGGCCGGGCAGCCTGGAGCCCTGCAGGTTTTTCTGTTTCAGGGGGAGAGGGACCCGTATAGAGTTCAACCCCGTGCTGGACTAGCACATGCTCCCTGCGAACTGGTCACCAGGCAATGCAATCTGCTTACTGTGCCCACAGGCGGTGCGTAATGATCTTCTTGGAGCTTATTCTCCAGTGCCCACCGCTGAGATCAGGTGAACGCTGGTATGGCGGTGGGGAGGTTGTGTGTTCCGAAGACCCTTTATGTCCTCAGGGATTGGCTGCTCTTGCTGGTGGTCACGTTTTTGGGTCCCTACTTCTAGGGCCACTGTCCTCGTGGTTTCTGTTGTTAGTTGTGAGCGATTATGTCCCCCCCCACTTCTTCCCTTTCTTTTTTTCCCCTGCCTCTACTGAAGCTGCAGCTACTTGCGCAAGCTCCCCACTGTTCATCATCTCATCCTCCTGTCTAGCCTGCAAGATTGCTACTGCAGTCCCAGCTGGAAAAGAGGAACCATAAAGAGAATCATCCAGCCTCCAGGCCCATGTGCTGGGGGAGGCATGGTGAAGGGTCGCAGAATGAGCCAGGGATGGGCACCATCTGCCCCCCCCCCCCCCCCCCCCCCCGCTTCTCTCCAGGGGAATACTGGGTTTTAAACAGATTGTTAAAGAGCCACCTTTGAGGCGGGTGGTGGTGGTGGTGGCGCATGCCACCCTGCACTGGGCGGGGGTGGGGGTGGGGGGAGGAGGCGAGGCATCTTTGAGTTTGAGGCCAACCTGGCCTACAGAGCGAGTTCCAGGCCAGTCAGAGCTACACACAGAGAAACCCTGTCTAGAAACCCCAACAAAACAAAATGAAACAAAACAGCTAAGTCACTTTTCTATGTGGCCATCGGCGTGTGTGAACAGAACTTAGGCCTTCAGGTGTTGGGTCAGAGGATTGCTCTAGTCTTGGTGAGCTATCTCGCCAGGAAAGAGCTGGTACTGAACTGTCTGAATTAACGGGAGGCAAAGAAATACCCGGTGTGACCTCTGGAGACCTTTATGCCTCGCTGCATATTTTACCAAAGTCAGAGCCGTCCGCTGAGCTGTGACCTGGCGTCTCAGGTTTTGCACACCCACATACCCGCATGCTGTCCCCTTCTTGCAGGCACGTCGTGCTCATTACACCCCCTAAGCTGCCGCTGCCTCTGTGCCTCGAAGGCTCAACCCACAGGAACCACTGGGGAGCAGAAAGCAGAGCCAACAAGCCTAGGACTGGATACATTGGAAACTAAATTGGGCCTGAGGAGAGCCCTTTCAGGTTGAGGAGCGCAGCTCTCTCATTCTGGTCCCCGGACACCAGCATCAGCAGGAGCGTACGTCCTCATCGACTCATCAGAGTATGGCATCTCAAGGCTGCAGTCGGGCCATCACCTGCTTACTCTGCCTGGGAGTCAAGGAGGACCAGGAAGAGCAGCAGGGTCAGTAGCGGTATGGAATTGGTGTTTTAGTGATCGCCGGGAAGCAAATATCCCTGGCAGAAGGGAATGAGCGAAGCAACAGCACCCACCGTCAGCTCACTTTATACATAGCTCTTCAGTGCTTTGTCTCTCCTTTTCGTGCACACTGAGCCCTGATGCCCTGAGCTTTCTCTGGCTGTTTCCTCTTTTGCAGATATGAACGCACAGATGATCTTTCAGGCTGGAGAGGGGAGAGAGAAGAAATGTGTATGGGGCCAACCTGGAGTGGGAGGAGTGGGAGCAGACAGTGAAGGAGAAGAATTAAAAGGAGAAAAAGGAGGCCCCTTTGGTCCTGAAGCTCCAGGTCCTGTGGGTGATGGGAAGAAGAATGGTGGCACCAGCGGAAGTGGCGTGGAGCAAGAGCAAATGGAGCTGGTTGCTGAGGGTACGGAGAGCCTGAAAAGCCTAAAGCCTCCGGAGAGGTCAATGGCCCGCCACCAACTTCGGTTCACCCAGCGGCAGCTGGAGCAATGGGAGACCATTCTCCAGCACAGTTGAGCCAGCAAGGTATGCAGACACGCCTTACCTTGCCCCTAGTGGGCAGTTTTCAGAGAACACATGTTAGTTCAAGGTGATCTTGGTTCTCTCCCAGGGCCCCCTTATCCCCTCTTGAAAGAAAGGCCACCTGACAACTCTAGACTGCCCAACTCTATCCTCCTGCAAATGGGGGTTGGGGTATGACGAAAGCTAGGGCAGCCGCGAAGGAAACTACTTTCTTGCTGTATTTAAACGAGTCCGGTTAGACTGCAGCAAGGCAAGGTCTTGCCAGAGCAGAGTGAGAAGCCTGAGGTTGGAGTTCTGCCTTTGCTTGAAATTTTGTATCTGTTCATCTCTTGATTGCTTTGTGTGTCTTTAAATTACATTGGACCATGATGTATTTTGATGAATGATTTTATTTTTTTGGCTTCCCCTTTAAGTTGGTACCGGGTGGTGGTGGGAGAACTCAGGGTAAATTAAGCCTCAAGGTGGATGCTGCAAACACTGTTGGGGGCAGGACGAGGGGTTGATAGGACAAACATTGAAGCATGAACATGAAATATACTGTGCCTGCTTTAATTTCATCCACAGGGCCACATACTGAATGTGTTTTGTTTGTTTGTTTGTTTTTCCTTTTAGGAAGGATCTCACAAGATGGATGGGTGTAAGTGAGTCCTGAATGTAGGTCGGTAATCTGAAAAAAAAATAGCCGTTTGGCAGGATAGCCATTCTAAAACTCACCTGAGATCTTGAATACCTTTGTCCTAGATATATTGAGTTGGTGGGTTGTTGTTGAAGTCTCTAGGTTTGGGGAGGGTCTTTAAACTCTGTGGGTACAAAATGGAGTCAGAAAGCCCCAGCATGTGAGAATGTGGCTTCCTAAAGGGAAAAAGAATATTACTGCCCTTTACATAATATTTGGGTAAAGAATGATGTAGAAATTCCCTAAATTTGACCTGGAGGGATGGCTCTGCCGCTAAAGGCTAGGCTCACAAGCAAAAATAGAAGAAATCATCCAAATTTATGAATCTATGAGCTCTGTGTTATTATTTCTGATAGTAAATTTAAGCATAAATTCTAAGAGGAAGGAGGGAATTTGTAAATCTTCAGCCATTGTAGTGATGGGGTGGGGAGAGCATACAATGCCTGCTTCTCCTGGCATTGCTGCTTCAAATTCACTACCTTGCTGGTAAAGCAAAGTAGTGAATGGCAGACCTGAATTTAAATTGTCTGGTACATCTTGGTGTGTCTTCCTGATATATGAAGAGTCCACATATGATGGTGTTTACCCATAATGCCACGACCCTGGAGGTGAAGATCAGGAGTTCAAGGCCAGCCTGGGCCACATCAGACCCTGCCTCAAATAAAAGCAGACAGACGCGCACGCCTCAAACCCACACATTTATGTTGGTAGTGAATGTCTTTCTGACATCAGATCATTTTCCTCATCCCTGTCAGGTATCATGAAGAACTGTTTTGTGTGATTGGTTGATGGTGGGGGCTAAACCTCACTGTGGGTTAAATTCATACCTGTGGTAGTTTGGAATATTTTTTCCATTTTTCTCGGGCAGAGGTAAGTGGATTTGCAGCTCACTGGACTCAGAAGTGGTCGCGTGAGAGCAGGGGAAAGTCCAAGCTGTACAGGAGTTCTTCTGGGAAGAAGGAAAGTAAAAGATTCAAAGGAGCATCGGGATAATGGCATTAGGTGTATCTCTGAGTTCCCTCTTGTGTGCTCACTAACGGAAAGGCCCTGAAGACTGGGGAGGTCGCGTCTCTAGAACACCAGCTGTTCTCAGGCCCCTAAGGCTACGTACATCCCAGGCTTAAGCCAGGTTTGGCTCAGGGTGCTCAGGGCACAGTGCGTAGTACGGCATTCGCTTTCTGAGGAGTTCAAAGCAGCCCTGGAATGGAGAAGCTGATAATTGCCAAGCTGCTTTGTCCTGCCCTCAGTTTACCTAGTGTGCTTTCAATGGCCCTCTGAGGGCAGAGTGACCCACATGCCACAAAGAAGGTGAAGGACTGTGTTTTAAAATTCAGACATCTTAACATGAATGTCTCCAAAAGGCTTGTCCCACACCTCGCCTGCTCTGCTTTCTGAGCATCATCAGAACTACATTGTGAAAGTGTCCTGGATGTGAGCGTGGTCCTCATTTTCCTTCCTGGAACAGTTGGTTCTCTTTGTTAATATTGCTATTGCTATTGTGGAGCTCCTGGCCATGAGTAGTGCTGAATTTGCAGGCCACATACTTAAAAGGGAGAAGTGCTCCCTCTAGTGGCCCAGGAGAAAGAGGCAGCATTCAGAAAGAGCCCTTTGCCTCACCCTATATACAAACTGAATGGCCAGTATCTACTACAGAGCCTGAAACGTTTCCTGGTGCTCCCTGGGGTTTGCTGAAGGAAGGGCGCAGTGTTTTCCGTCCTAACAGGGTTCTTCAGGCCTTTCCCCTGTAGCTCCGTGACTGGAAGCCAGAGTTCACACACATTGAGCAGTTACTATACCCTCAGTCCCTCACTGAATTAGAACAGCATGAAATGAAGGGCTTCTTTGTATGGATTCTACAATCTCACAAATTGGGTTGAGCCTATAACTCAGGAATAAAGCACTTGTCCTGGCATAGTTGAAGCCCTAGGTTCAATCCCGAGTACCTACCAAAAAAATTCAACCAAATGTCAGTTGGGTTTTTTTGTTTGTTTGTTTTATCCGCATGCTTTTTAGTGTACTAATGCGGTCCCTTATCCTTCCGCGTGCAGGACTAATTTAAGATTAGGAGCATTGCACACAGAAAAAATGGGAGGAGGAGGACCAGAAGTGCACCATCTGGGCCCTAGAACATCTGTCTCTGAAGATTTCAGTGTCACCCTAGTCCCGGAGCAAGATGGGAATGGCTTCTTCTTGTGCCACCAACATCTCAACTGCCTATGCTGACCACAGCCACCGTTACTTCTCAGCCATTCTTTTAGCAATAAAGAGGCGGATTCTCAATATGTTTGTTCCATTGCCTTTGCGATTTCTAAAATATTGTTGTAAATACCTTAGTGATTCTAGTATTATAGAAATGTCCCTTAAACAGAATAACTAAAAGGTATCCTTTCATAATGTGGCATAATTGAGTTGTCTTCCATATTCCCTACACATCACAGGAAATCTGCAAATATAGTGATGGTTCACACTGACCTACACATCCTCCATTGCCACCCCTTGTCACCCCGCTGCCTTCAAATCACCCCACTGCTGTACCTACAAGGAAGGACAGGGCAAGCTCCTGCTGAGAATCAGTGTGTTCCCAGATGGGGCTGAAGTCTGCCACTATTCACATGTGTTTTCCAGTACTGTAAATGACTGGGGTGGGTGGGTTCTCTGATGATGAGCTCAGTAGTCCCGGAGGTAGATGCGTCCAAAGTGGGGTGAGGGCAGTGGGAATAGCCAGCGACCGCCTAAGGCCAGTTACACTCCAAGCTGGGCTCTTGATTGAGCCAGATTTCCAAATCCACCCCTGCGTGGTCCTGGGCACTCAACATTGCTGTTCCCGGTTAGTCTCGGACAAATTGACAAGTGCTTTTGGCGTTATCATTCACATTTTGTCCACTAGCGGTGACAGGCATTCTTGAAATTGTTCCCATTCAGTTCACAAGGAGGTGACACACACTCTTGACACTGTTGTTCAATTTAGTTCATGGCGGGAGGGGGCAAAAGTCACTCTTGACTTTGTCTTTCAAAACCTTTTGTCTGTGAGGGCGCGAAAAAACACTCTTGACATTGTCGTTCCCATCTAGTCTGGTCCATTGTGGGGGGTGCCATGCCTGGACTGGTGGTCCTGGGTTCTATAAGAAAACTAGCTAAACAACCCATGGGGAGCAAGCCAGTAAGCAGCTCCCCTTCACGACCTCTGCACCCGTTCCTGCCTCCAGGTTCAGCCCGGTGTGAGTTCCTGTCCCGACTTCCTTCACTGGTAGACTCTGATGTGGGGCTGGAAACCTAATAAATCCCTGTGTCACCAACTTGCTCTGGCCATGGTATTTCATCATAGCAGTAGTCACCCTAGCTAGGACAGTCCACAAGGGGACAACAGGCACTCTTGACATAGCTCCCACGTACTTCACAAGACCGCCCCAGATCCTGGCAAGAGCGACCCGGGCTTGCCTAGAACTGCTTCCAAAGTTTCTTTGGCTTTAGTCAGTTAGACAGTTGTACACGGCAGGTCTTACGGTCACACTGTTACAGGGACCCCCCCCCCCCAGAGATGACCACTCAGATCCAGTGTGTAGCCACCTGAAAGCCTTTACTCCAACTGGCTGGGACCACACCCAGGTTTTTGGAGCAGCAGGCAATGGGACATTTCCAGCCTGGACGGAGCACCCATGCCTGTCAAATGAAGCATGCCCTCGGAGCCCAGCTCAACAGCCATTAGAAAAGACCATAAGATCCAAGAGCATCAGCTCTATGGCAAGCCGAGCCCTATCTGTAATTAGAGGTTTAACCCGGGAAACAGTGTTATCTATGCAAAGAAGGCACTTCCGAGCGCTGACCATCCCCTGTTAAGGAAAAGCTGGAGAAGGCCACAGTGTGCCATCTGTGACACAGAATCACACGGAAGTGGTACTCCACAGGCATCTTGACTTTTTCAGTCCTGTTTAGTCCACAAGGGGGCGCCAAGCAACAGGCACTCTTTTTTTTCTTCTTAAATTTATTTATTTATTAAGGATTTCTGCCTCCTCCCCGCCACCGCCTCCCATTTCCCTCCCCCTCCCCCGATCAAGTCCCCCTCCCTCATCAGCTCGAAGAGCAATCAGGGTTCCCTGTCATAGTTGTACCCCTTTAGTCCATGGCTGTGGGCCAGTGAGGGGGACAACAGGTGTCCTCGATTCTGTCTTCCCCTTTTGCACAACAGGAAGCAATAGGCACTCTGGACATTGTCACCTTTAGTCCACAAGGTGACTTTACATCCAGGACCACAGGATTCTTCCTGAATTAGGAACCACCTATGCCCTCAAACCTGTAATATCTGTGCAAACTTACAAAT